ATTCTTTATTAATGTATTAAGTTATGAAACGCAGTAACGTATCTTTAATAAAAAATACAAGCGGTACTTTCTATGCTGCTTCAAATAAACTCTTTATATATAATCACTATTTAATTTTGTTTCATTCATTTAGACGAATTCGGTGGTTTAACAATTTTGACACCAGGTATATCTACGGGGTTGAACTTTCTTTGGCAATCGGAATATGCAGCTCCGACACCAAAACCAGTTGAAAATGCAATTGGCCAAGATTTTTCTAGAAAAAACATTCGCTAACTCAGTGTGCTAATTAAAAAGTTACAAATTAATGCTAAAACGACTGTCCTTACTTTTAAATGCAAGTGCAGATATAACGATCCCGACGCTGAGACCGATACCAGTTTTAACAAGTAAGTTAGATATGCATAGGTCCCACTAAAAGTAAGAAAAGAACATGTCAATTAATTTTAAACATATAGATATATATTTCAAAGTACCTTTTCATTTAAAATTTCCTCACTAGGTATTTTCTTTGCTTCTTCACTCATTTTTTAACTTGAATAAAAAGAAACTGAAGATTTGTAGATATTTATTTTTTATCGTCCAATCAGCTGCAATGATGTATGTATATACGATATGTAACACCAATCTAATTAATATTGATATGCCTTCCTCATCTATGGGTAGTTCTAAACGTTCTAAACGCAAAAATATAAAAAGAGAAGTTGGGCTTACAACAGAACAAGAAGAAGAGATTCGCGAAGCCTTTGACTTGTTTGATACGAAAGGTTCAGGAACCATTAGCATAAAAGATTTCAAAGTTGCCATTCGTGCACTGGGTTTTGAACTCAAAAAGGAAGAAATAGATAATCTTTTGAATGAAGTTGACCATGATGGTAGTGGTACAATTGATCTTGAAGCCTTTACTGCAATAATGGCTGCGAAAATGGTTAGATCCAATTTATATAGATTTTATTAAATTGTAAATTTCATTTTTTTATATTTCACTTCGTACTAATTTGTTACTGTGATGATATTGGCGTATGTTCTCATAAGTCTGAACGCGATGTACAAGATGACTTCAAAAAAATATTTCGCCTTTTTGATGATGATGAGACAGGAAAGATAACTTTCAAGAATTTAAAACGTGTCGCCAAAGAACTTGATATCGAGATAAGTGATGATAAATTGAGAGAAATGATTGAAGAAGCCGATCTAAATGGCGATAATGGAGTAGATGAAGAAGAATTTATGAATATTTTGAAAAAAACGAATTTACACAACTAAAACGCTATATTAAATTTTATATATAATATATTTTTTATTATATAAAAATATTTTAATAAATTAATTTTATAATAATGTATTGTTTTAAAAAAAAAGAAATCTGTTAAAAATAATTTTGAAATATTTTAACACTCAAACAACAATTAAAGAAAATATTATAAAACACTTTTATATTTTCAGTTAAAGGATAAATTATAAATCAAAATATTAACTTTTCAAGTTCTAGTTAAATCAATATCAATTTATATTTTTTTTAAATATTAAAAAAATTTTTTTAAACAATAGTTTTAATTAATAAATTAATAAGTATTAAAAACTCTTTAATATATATATTTATATATATTTTAACCCACAGTCAGATCAACATGGCTTGTCTTTATTATATAAATATATAATATCTATAAATTATTTAATTTCACATGTTGACTTACTTATTATCAAAAAACTATTTCTCTAAATACAACTTAAAAAATAATATTTTACTTCTTTACTAATTTGGAATACTTCTTAATCAATAAAATTATTGTTTATAAGTTATTACTATAGATTATCTAAATTTTATCTATAGTTAAAAATTAAATTATTTTATTTATAATAAATTCAATTTTCGATAATTTCTATAGAATTTATTTTTTCATTTTTTTCTATTTTAGTTTTTTATTTTTAAAAAACTTCACATTTTTCTTATTAGATTTAATATAAGTACTTTATAGTTTCATAAATTGCTATTAAGCAATTTCTTTAAACTTTTTTGTTTGATATAATTAATTTAATATTATAGATTAACTTTTTGAAAAAAACTTTTTTAATATTTACTATTATATCTCAAATTTGATTTGTTTATAAACAAATTATAAACTTTGAATTTTTCTTTTTATTTTTTTTTTTTATTTTTTATTTTTTTAACCCACAGTCAGGCCAATATGGCTTGTCCATTTTATTGTAAACATATTTGATATTTACATATTTTATGA